AGAGCCTAATGAGGTTCTTCTTTTCTTCATTAAAAATAGATTTTTCTTCATACAATAAATTCTGATTATGGTTTCCTCTCCCACCAACCCTCCCCACTTTCCTGCTTACCCAAGCCCACACCCTTTCTTTCTCTTTCTTATTAGAATACAAACAGGCATCTAAAAAATAACAATAATAATAATAGTAATAGTAATAATTTATAAAAAACAAATTAGAATGGGACAAAATAAACAAACAGAAGAAAGATACCAGAGAAAAAATTCAAAAAACGCATATAGACACAGAGACACTCATGTTCCCACACACAGAAATCTGATAAAAAACACGAAACCAGAAAACATATTATTCACGGAGAGGACATGTAAGATTTAAAAATGTAGACAGGAGAAGCTTCGGCAAAGCATTAGGAGACCAAGAACCTCCAAAAATGCCATTAATTTGTTTTGTACTGGCTATCAAGTGCTGGGCATGGGGCCTGGCCTCAATAGTGGTTTGTATACCCAGTGAGACATCATTGGAGAAAATCCATTTTCTATTTGCTGGTGCTTATCAGTTGGATATAGCTTCTGAGTTCCTGGTATGGGTTTGTGCTCACTTCCCCTCTCAGCACTGAGACCTCATCTCACCCAGACTGATGCAGGCTCTGTGCATGCTGCCACAGTCTTAGTGAGTCCGTACGTGCATACGTGTCCTGATTCGCTCTGAAGACCTTGTTTCTCTTGTGTCTGCCATCCCCTCTGGCTCTTACAATCTTCTGCCTCCCCCTCTGAAGGGCTCCCTGAGCCTTGAGGGGAGGGAGTCCATTTAGGACTCCATGTTCTGAGATCTGACTCTCTGCACATTGTCTAGTCTCTGTATTTGTTCCCATCTACTCCAGGAGGAAGCTTCTCCGACAATAGCTGAGCAAGACCCTGATCTATGAGTATAACAGAATGTCTTTAGAAGTTGTTTTACTGTTGTATTCCTTTGGCATAATAGTAGTATTTTGGTTGGTGCCCTAGGTTGCTGGCCTAGCTAGTCTCAGGTTCTTGGCTACCAGCTGTATAATGTATGGGTTCCATCTCATGGAGTATGTGTGCCTTAAATCCAGTTAATTATTGGTTGGTTACTTTCACAGGCTTTGTGACACTATTGCACCAGTGTATCCGGCAGGCAGGTCACCACTGTAGAATGAAGGACTTGTAGCTGGGTTGGTGTTTACCTTTCTCCTCTGGTAGCATGTGGAGTACCTTCCAGTACCATGACTCCTAGTCAGTAGAAGTGGAGGCTGTAGGTAGTCAACAGCTCAATTTCGCTGTGTTCAATGAGTTTCGTAGATGCTGTATTCAGTAAAAGGACCTTACCATTAGGTTGCAGAGAGCAATCAATGGCCTTGGTAATACCCTGCACTGTTTGGGGGCTCCCATGTGACCCTTTGTCCAGGAAATTGATTAGATATAACCCATTTCCAGAATCAGAGACTTCATCTTGTGACAAGAGATGTTCTGTCAGGCCTCTGTGTTCCCTATGACTTATCAAGTCCCTGTGGATCACCTTTATATGTGCATCTATTTTAGGAAGCTTCTACTGTATTAAGTTTCCATATAAACTCTCAAATGGCCCTAAGTTTTACCTGTCACTCCTCATAGTCTCTTCTTCTTCCCCCTCTTCTCTCCCCTTCCCCGTTTGATCCTCTCATTGCAGTCCTTCTCCTCCCGTCTATCCATGACTGTCTATTCTATTTCCCCTTCCTAGGGAGATCCAACCCTGCCTCCAGTCCCTTAATCTATATCTAATTTCTTCAGTCATGTGTGTAATAGCCTGCTCAGTAAATATTTAACAGCTAATATCCACATTTAAGCAAACATGTACCATATTTGTCTTTTTGGTCATTTGAGTTTCACTCAGGGTGATTGTTTTCTAGATCCATCCATTTACTTGCAAATTTCATTATTTAATTTTTAAGAGCTGAGTAATATTTTATTTTTTTATCCATTCATTCACTGACAGATATTTAGTCTTTTTTCCAATTTCTGGGTATTATGAATGGAGCTGCAATGAACATGTTTGAGCAAGTGTCTCTATAGTAAGCTATAGAGTCCTTCATGTGCATGGCCAAGAGTGGTATGGCTGGATCTTGAGGAAAACAGATTCCCATCTTCCTGAGGAACCACCACACTGATTTCCATAGTGGCAGTACAAGTTTGCATTCCTACCAACAACAGATAAGTGGTTCCCTTTCTCCACATCCTCATCAGCATGAGCAGTCCATTTGTTATATTGATCTTATCCATTCTGACAGGTATAGGATGAAATCTCAAAGTAGTTTTGATTTGCATTTCCCTGCTAGCTAAGGATATTGAACATTTCTTTAGGTGTTTCTCAGCTATTTGAGTTTCCTTCTATTTAAAAATTCTCTGTTGAGATTTGCACCCCATTTTTAAATTGGATTATTTGTTTTCTTTGTTCTAGTATTTTTTTAGTTTTTATATATTTTTGATATTTGCTTTCTATCAGATGTATAGCTGGTAAAAAGTCCTTCACCATTCTGTAGCCTAACACTTTGTCAGAATGATGGTAGCTTTTGCCATATAGAAGCTTTTCAGGTTCATGAGGTCCCATTTATTGTTAATCTTAGAGCATGTGCTGATAGTGTTCTTTTCAGAAAGTTTTTTCCTCTACCAATGAATTTAAGACTATTTCCCACTTTCTCTTCTATCAGGTTCAGTGTATCTGGTTTTATGTTGAGATTTTATTTGATCCAGTAGAGTTTTGTGCAGTGTGATAAGTATGAGTCTATTTGGGTTCTTCTACATGCAGCCATCCAGTTTGACCAACACCATTTGTTGAAGATGCTATGCTTTTTCCAGTGTGCATTTCTGCCTTTTGTTTAAAAAAGTCATGTGTACATAGCTGTTTTGCTCTTTGGTTTCTGTCTGTTTCCTCTGTGGTTCTTAGGAAAATACAGTGGATACGTGTTGTCTATAGAAAATCTTCTGGAGTTCTGCAGATATGGGCACTGGGGTTCCAGGCAAAATGTGTTTCTGGGCGTTGGGACCTGATCCTTAGGAAGAGAGATAGGCTGGGTGCAGTAAAGTGGTTTCACTAGAGGTAGAAAAACAAGGTGTCCCACCAGGATCTGCTTAGTTAGTCCCATTGGAATGGAGGCAAAGAGTGAGAAGAGGCCATAGCAGGTAATATACTACAAGCCAGAGAATGAGATGGGATTGCCTATGGAGGAGGGGTACATTCAAGTAATCAACATCAAGATCAAATATGCAATATACCAGAACCCAACAAGCTTATCTTCTTCAGCTTCTGAATCATTAGCAACCCCCAAGAGTAACCCTTATCCATCATCATGGATTAACTGTGTATTTAGGAATGGTTCCCTAAATATCCTGGCTTTTTCTCTTGAACATTAAGCTGTGAACTTCCATTCAATTATGTGCAATCATCACTCACTTCTTCTCAGTGGTGCATGATGCTCCACAGTACGACTATATCAACATTTACTCATTCATTTAAATTTTAAATGACTCATGAGTTTTAAGTTTGAGATTAGTTACAAATGCTGCTAAAAACTTCTTTACCTGGTTTTGGTGCATATATACATGCATTCATTATTCTTGTGTGTTGTATTAAGCAAGTTCTCTAGAGGAACAGAACTGATAGACTATGGTACACACAAACACACACACACACACACACACTCCTGTTATTACATATTATATATAATAAAAAGGAATTTGCTAGAGTGGCTAACATGGTAGCAGCTGGGTGATCTATATCAATGGCCCTTTGCATGATGAAGAGGCCGGAACTCAAGAACATCTTACTTCACAGGCTGGATGCTTCAATCTAGCATTAAAGGCTTAGAAGCTTCCTGGAGAGTATCTGAGATTCTAGTGTACATTGGAAAACCAAGGAAACTGGAGTGTGATGTTAGTGGAGAATGGGAGCAGGAGCTAGAAGAATATCAGTGCAAGCAGCAGCAATAGCAGCAGCAGCAGCAGGACAGTCACAGTAAGCATAAGAAGTTAAGGCAGGCAAGCAAGGCTTACCCCAACCCCTCCAGACTTCTCTCTTTCTGGGCCATGCAACAGGTGTTGTCCACTCTGGGGGAGGGTCTTCTCCCAGTTAATCCTTCCTGAAACTTGCCAAGAAGTGTCTCTGAGTTGATTCCAGATGCAACCAAGTTGAAAACCAAGTTAACCATCAGAGATCCAATCCTTGTTAACTTTGTTTCTGCAGATGCAACCATATCTCCCTGTATTATGCTTAATTTCCTAATGAATATAGTAACAAAGGCAGAATTTCACCTAACATGATATCACTGTTCTATATACAACAAAAATACATTAATTATTCCTCTAAAATATATGACAAAACCACTTGAGAAATGCTTAGACTCTTAATAGCTCATGACTTAAATGTGAAAATATATATCTAATAGCACTTAAGTACTGATATAATTTCAACTGATATTATGTGGTGGACTCTACCAGGTAGAGGAATACTACTGTTGTGTGGAGAAAAATACAGACAAATTTCTGCTTTGTATGTATGTATGTATGTGTGTGTGTATGTATGTATGTATACACAATCATATTCTTAACAAAGTAGGACAGAAACACTCATGACTATTACAATCATCATTTCTGTAACTGGTCACAAGACTGTAGCTTATACTTATAACTGCTTTCTTCTACCCATATTACTCTACCCCCAGTAATAACCTCAGCAAGCCCTGGCCCTTTACCTGGATTAATGATGCACACCTTCATTCCTGAAGAGATTGGGCCATTTATAATACTGCCTGGAGTAGCTTGTTGTAGTTTCCCATTGACTTTAAATCACACAACATGGTCACACCAAGAGATGCCCTAAACGATCTCCTGCACTCCAGACATACTCACCTTTATCTCCATTGTGGAGAAGCAACCCAATTTACACATGGTAGTCTGGATCAATTGTCCCTTGTAATACTGTTATTCTTTTCTTATCCTGATGACCCAAGGTATCAAGAGTTCAAAATGGCCAAAGAGAAGTCTTCCAGTTCAATGGGGTATTTTTTTCCTCCTGACATAAGCCTCTCCCCTTTGAAATGAAGACTTCACATCATCGGAGCACAAAATCACCTGGTCAGTAGATGGTAGGTAACCAAGAGTGACAGTGAGTTGTGCCACTTACATTCTAGCTCTTGACTCCTGGATCCATGAGTCCTGGATAGGAAAGAAACAATGTCTTGTATTGCTTGCTGACTCACACTGTATGCAACCTTTAAAAGAACCCTGTCCAGACCTTCGAGTTATTGTCACCTGGTTGGTACTACAATAGCATCTTTCAAAAGCTATTTCACTGCTCTGTTAACCCAGCTACTTTGGGATGGTGGTACATGGGAAGCCCAAGGAATTCCTTGGGCATGAACCCACTACATACTTCTTTGGTTGTGAATTTATGGTCAGAAGCTATGCTGTGTGTAATACCATATTTTTGGTGGGTAAAGCATTCTGTAAGTCCATGGGTGATAGTTTTAGAAGAAGAATTGCATGCAAAATAAGCAATTCTCCATAATTAGTATCTACTCCAATAATAACAAAGAGACGCCCCTTCTGTGATGGAAGTGGTCCAATGTCAACCTGCCAACCAGATTGCTAGCTGGCCACTCCAGGGAATGATACCATATCTGGGAATATTGTTGGTCTCTGCTGCTGGCAAATCCTGCACTCAGCAGCAGCCATAAACAGGTCATTCATGGTAGTTGGGCCTATGCATAACCTCTATTTCTGCCACTGTGGCCAATTTGTTCATCGGCCCTTTGGACCATGACAGAGATGTCCAAATAAAGAGGTTGAGTACTGTCAATACACAGTTTCATCTTGTCTACTTGAATACATGGGACACAAGTATCTTCATATCTTTTGTTTTTATCTTAGTTAGGGTTTCTATCACTGTGATAAAACATTGTGACCAAACGCACCAAAATGGAAGTAAAGGGTTGATTTCAGCTTACACTTCCACATCACATCCCATAACTGAGGAGAGTCAGGAGAAGAACTTAAACAGGGTAGGAACCTGGGGACAGAAGCTAATACAGAGGCCATGGAGGAGTATTGTTTACTGGTTTGTTACTAATGGCTTGCTTAACCTGCTTCCTTACAGCACCCAGAACCACCAGCCCAGAGTGGCACTATCCACAGTGATCTGGACCCTCCCACACCAATCATCAATCAAGAAATGTTGCACAGGTTATTCACAGGACAATCTCATGGGGGCATTTTCTCAGTTGAGATTCTCCCTTCCAAAATGACTCCAGTTTGTATCAAGTTGACAAAAAATAAAAAGCCTAACCATCATATGCCCATTTGGAAAGACATCCAAATACCCTTTCCCCAACTGTGTTTCTCATCCATTTCCCAACCATATGCCTTCCAACTCCCCAACCATCAAATAAATCCATTGGCTATAGTTCTTGAATCAGTATAGAAGCACACATGGCCATTTTTCCTTACAGGTAAAAGTACAACTGTGTGAAATGCCTAAATTTATGCCCACTACAAAGATTTTGTGTCACTGGAATCCTTTAATGTTGTCCCAAAAAGGAGGTATAGTGATTCAACTGTTTGCTACATTTTGGTACATACATGAAGTCTAGAACCACCTGTAAATCAGACCCTAGTCTTTTCTTCCCTAGTCAACCAATCATAGAGCACACCCTGTGAGACCACAGGTACAAGCTTGGGTACAGAGGCATTGTAACAGGAATAGGAAACATAGACATTTTAGCCATGCCTTCATGTAGCTTAGTTGTACCCTCAAGACCTGCTTAGGCCTGATCATGTTATTACCATCTCCATTTGATGGTGGATTGCTGCTGTACGCATCCAATTTTATGGCTTTGTGGGCCAGATAACAACACGCTCATGATGGACAGCTCAAGGTGCATTGCAATTTGGTGGCCCATAATCAAATGCCCAATAGCAGGATAAAACAGTCTTTCAAAGGAAAAGAAGGTATCTGCTGGGCCTCCACTGTAATCACCTATGAGGGCCTGCCAAAGGCTCTGAACCAAATCCCTGCCTGCCACTGACACCTCAAGTCTACTGGATCTTCTAGATCATGTGACCAATGGGGCAGATCAACTCCAACTTGGTGTACCAGTACGACACCTTGTGAAAGAGACAAGGTGATCAAAATACTTGAAAACATGGTCAGACAATTAGTATACCCTTGAGAACCTTGTCACTGGAAACAAACTGCTTTGGGTAGTCTTTATGAACAGGAGTAGAGAAGGAAAAAATTGGAGAGATCACTAGGTGCATGCCAGGTGGCAGAAGATATGTTAATATGCTTATGCTAGGAAACCCCATGTGGTACAGCAGTTGGAACTAGAATCACTGTCTTAGTGGGTTTATAATGATCAACTATCATTCTTCATCATCTATCCATTTTCTACACAAGCCAAATAAAAGAGTTAAAGAAATATGTGAAAATCACCATCCCTGCATCTTTTAGGCCCTTAAGGAGTGCAATATTGTTAGTTCATTATTTTTTTCTGGAAGAGGTAGAGCTAACTGTTTCCATTTAGCCTTGCCAACCATAATAGTTATCATTCCACACATAAGGAAAACAGGTCTCTTAGTTCCAGAGACCATCAAGTTGACAATGAAGATTAACCATCACAAATGCCTAAGTGGGAATCAAATTGTTAGACCAAATGATAAGAGTATGCCATTTTATTTGATGGCATAGACAATTTTCCAAAGTAGTTTTACCATTTTCAACAGACAACCTAAGGAGCCAAATGACTCCCCATCCTAAACAACTCATAACAATATTAATTTCACATTCTAGCCATTCTGGTGTATATATTATAGTATTTCATGTTGATGTGTCTATTAGCAACTTCTCTGTTGCTGTGATATAACACTATGAGCAAGACAACTTAGATAAGAAAGAGTTTATTTTGGCCTATGATTCCAGAGGGTGAGAGTCCATAATGGCAGGAACAGAATGGCAGCAGGTACAACATGGTATCTACAGCGGTAGGAAGCTGAGAGCTCACATCTTGAGCCACAAACACAAAGCAGGAAGAGCAAACTTCAAGGAGGGCAAAGCCTTAAGCTCTCAAAGCCCAGCCCCAGGGGCATATTTCCACCAGCAAGGCCACACATCCTAACCCTATCCAAATAGCCAATGTTCAAGTGCCCCAGACTATGTGAGATATTTCTCATTCAATAACCACATTGCACTTCCTGTCCCCTAGAGTCTCATGGCCATATCATAATGCATAAAAGTACTTAGTCCAACTTTAAAAGTCCCCAGGATAATAGTTACAACACAATATAAAACATAGTCTGATTTAAAAAGTCCTATAGTCTTTAAAAATTCAAATACTTGACAGTTCAGCCTCTTTAAAATAGCCAATGTGGCTCCTGTAAAATACAGTTTTGGCCAACCTGGGCAACAGTGTTGTATGCTGACCCTGAGGAAATACTTCCCAGAAGATTTCACCTCAATGATGCTGATCTCTTATTAATCACTGCTGATTTCTCACCCCCAGATAACCAGCATCAATTGTCCTAGTAAATGAAAGGTTTCACTTCAGTGATGGCTGGTTTCTTGCTAATCACACCTGATTCTTCATTTCTAGCTGAACAGAAACCACAGATTGTCAGTTCAAAATATATGAACAATCCTGATAGAATCTTTGCTTCCCTCTGAAACTGCACAAGACAGGCCTCCATCATATGCATTTCTTTCAACACTCTTGTCTTCTAATCTCCCACAGAACAACCCTTTAAGATCTGAATGAATACTCAATGACTTTTCTAACCTGATGTATCAAAGACTTTCATAATCATCCCCAAAACAACATGGTCAAGTCTGTCAAAGCAATAGCCAACTCTCCGGTTCCAATCAGAAAGCAAAGGTTATTGGTTTGATAGTGATGTATTTATGTTATAAGCTGACAAAGAGTCAATTGTGCTGATTAGTTTTGTCAGCTTGACCCACACAAGCGTCATCTAGAAAGAGGGAACTTTAACTGATAGAAGGCCTCCATTAGATTGGTCTATAGACAAGACATTGTCTTGATTAATGAACATATGCAGGAGAGCCCAGCCCACTGCAGGTGGTGTCATCCTTAGGCTGGTTGTCTTTGGGTGTATAAGAAAGGCTAAGCAAACCGTGGCGAGCAAGCCAGAAAGCAGCATTCCTCCTTGGCCTCTGCTTCAGCTCCTGCCTCCAGATTGCTGCTTGAGCTCCTGTCTTGGCTTGCCTCAGCAGTCTGTGACCCAAGATATGTAAGCCAAATAAATCGTTTCCTCTTCAAGCTGTTTTTAGTCATGGTGTTTTATCACAGCAGACATTTTAACTTTCATTTCCTCGAAAAGCTTTATTGTAGAACACAGTATCTACTGGCTCTCCACATTTCTTCCATGTGTGTGAGGCAGTGTATTTTGTCAATGGACTAGCTTTTTTTATTTTAAACTGAGTTGTAGGAGTTCTTTATATATTCTACATAAAAGACCTTTGTCAAATGCCTTCTCCTGGTCTGTAATTAGTATTTTTTGGTTCAGAAATATGATCCTTAGATGAACAATCATTCTTCCTTTGAAATATTGAAAACATTCCTCCAAAAACAGGAAGCACATAGAGATGTCTGCTAATTTAACATTAGATGAGTGACCAGAAAAATAAATATAGGTGTAAAGATTGGTGTGGAAAAAAAAAGAATGCCATGATTTTCAGATGACTTAATTTTATACCTAGGAATCCTTTTCTAAAGTTTTAGGTAAAATATATTAAATGTCTATAAAAATTTATTTCCTTTATGTGGATCATAATGAATGATATTCCTTAATATCAAAACACTTTGGAATTTTATGTTTATATTTTTGTGACCAATTTATAACATGCTCTGCTATGATCAGAGAACATCTTTGACATAATTTGTAACTATTCAAAATTTTTGTGACTAGATTTATGGTAATTATTTTCCAAAAATAATTTTAGTGATCTATAGCACTCACAGATTATAGTTACTGAGACTTGTTACTAATTTTGTTCACTTATTCTGAAGCTTTTCTAATTTTACCCATGTGTCTTATCCATTACTGACAAATGCACATTATAGCCTGCCTCTATGAT